AAGCAAAGTTCAATTACATTGAATATAAATGATGAATATATTAAATTATCAAATATAGATTTCTGTAGATTAAAACAATTACAACACTGCATTGACCTGTATATAGCAGAAAAACAGAAATGACTACAGAGTTTTCAGGCAACATTTGATACTGCTTACGAACTGATCAAAAATGATGTACGTGGTCTGCCAATCAGCTGTCAGAGGAACGAATTCACAAACCAGTATATTCAAAACTATGATTTCAATTATTATTCCCATTTACAAAACGATGACACATCATTTTTGTATGAAATATTAAAATACCATTTCAATACAATGGCAGAGCTTATATTACAGGATTTATTAATATGAATACAAATGTATTTATATATATATATATATATTGTTTATTGTTTAAATTAAGTTTATTTTTTATATATATATATAACAATCAAACTGCTATTTTGCTTTTTATTGTCCGGCGATCTGGATCCTGCAGCATTGTATCGAATACGGCCTGCATAGTCTGATTCAGACTACTATTCAATGACTGGTCTTTCGATTTATCGCTCGTGAAGATCTTCAATGATGCTTCCGAACGAAGACATCTATAAACATACAATAGTAAAAATAGAATCGTGCTGTTAAACAGATACAAAAGGTATTTCCAGTATTTATCTATCCTTATGTGCGACATTCACAATATTCGAACTTTTATAATGAGTCAAGACCAAGTAATCAGTCGGCTTGCCCTCAAAAGTAGTTTTAGTGGTGATAAGCCATCACCTTGACGGAAAGTTAGTGAATTTGTCACTTCTCTCCATAATCTTCTAATCTAAAAAGATCACCAACGTTATCTCTATATGATGATGATGATGTAGCCTATAAAAAAAATTTTTAAAAAGAATAAATAAATAATTTATACTATCATCATAAAAATGTTTTATCTCACCATTTTCGTCTGCTTTTTTTTAGGGTTTTTTTCTGTATTCTTTTCAGCACCACGTTTTAAACTCTGTTTGATTTTTGATGCAGATGGTTTCATTTTTACATCAACCACAAATTATAACCATAGCGTTGAGTAGTTTTACGACTGACCTCCAATTTGCTTTTGGTTATTAAAAGTTATTTTTTTTAAAAGTACTAACCTCTGATTCAGAAGACGCGATTGAAGTTTTGTAGGACATCTTGAGCTGTGTTGAAGACTGTACTGCACTGTTTTGAAATTACTGGAGACTGATACATTTTGACGATATTCTGCTGGCTTTTATACACAGATATTTCCACTACTCTAAACTCGACTATATGTGGGTGCTTATGTCAACGACGTGTAAAAAAACCTTTCTATATTTTTCACATTCAACTCAGAACCGGTATTAAAATTATAAAAAGATATACATTATCTTAATGTACATTGTAATTTATTTTAAGAGTTCTTGTCAATAGCAATGACCTAAAAAAAAAAATATTAAAATTTGGCTATAAGCAGATGCTCATAGTAATGACCTTACCACATTATCACATCCTGTTCAGAACCAGTATTGAAACTTATTTTAAGTGTTACAGTGTTACCGAGCTGAATTAAATTCAGTTCACGTTCGTTGCGCCTGGGTAAACATATAGTACACGATAGCGCCGGGCTAATGTATAATATATCCGGGCGTCCGGTGCTCCAATATCTAACCCGATAGCCCGGCGCTATCGTGTACTATATGTTTACCCGGACGTAACGAACGTGAACTGAATTTAATCCAGACCGATAAATGTTGTTTAATGTCATTCACTGCTGAAGGATACATTCTAATAATATTGAGGTCATATAATATCATTGGCTAAAATGTATAGTAGGTGGAAAATATTTGTGTATAAAAGCCAGTAAAATATTTTTAAAATTTTATAGTCTCCAACCATTTCAACACAGTGCAGTACAGTCTTCAACATCAGTGTTCCTGTTTTATCAGTGAAGAAACAAGCCAGCAGACCATCATCAACATTTATAAATCTACAGCACATTTCAACGCAGTTCAATACAAGTGTTCCAGCTCTTCACACTCAGAGAAACAAAATATTTCCAAATTCTTTCAATTATGTACTTACCTATTTTATTATTTAGCAACTTAGCGTACAGATGGCATAGTTCCAGTAACTTAATATATAGTTCCATGTTACGTTTGTTTACTCATCCGCTTCGTGTGTCGCTTAAATGGTTCGTCAACATTCTTAGTAGATTTAAATTCGGTTATCCGATGGCTTTAAAATACCAATTGTATGCAATTGAATGCGGCATATTAAACTTGGACATATCTTCAGGAGACGGAAGTCATTGGGTAGCGTTTCATAAAAATCAGGGAAAAGTTGTTTATTTTGATAGCTTCGGTGATTTACCTCCAACAATTGAATTACAGCGTTATTTCAAAGAGTTTAAAATAGTATATAACTATCCTAACTATTAAGATTTCAATACATTTAACTTTGGTCATTTATGTCTTGAATTTTTACAATTTATGAATCTGCTACATTAAGTTTGACTGGAAATACAACTTCATTATCTGCAAATTATATTCCGTCTCTAAACGTTTACAATGATTCGGAAATAGCTTTGTTATTTTTACAAACATATAATTCATTTCCAAATATAAATTCAACTAATAACAGACTGGAGATAGAAATAATTCCTTCAGCAAGTAATAAATATATTTTTGAGACGTTTATTTTTATTCTGGAAGAAGGGTGTTATGAAATAGAAGATATTAACAATAAAATTGCAAAAGAGTTATTCCGCTTTAATAACGAATATAGTACACAGCTATCATTCAGTGTATGTATTGATCATGTAGATTTTAGAACGTATATACAATGTAATGGTAAATTAAAGTTGGATATCCCAAATAGTATAGCATCTGTTTTCGGGCTTGAAAAACAGACCTATGAACCAATGTACGATGCTCTTCGATCAGAAAAAGCTATTAATTTAAACATGATTAATTCTATAAAAGTGATGTGTAATATAGCACATGGATCATTCAGCAACCAGCTTCAAAGTCATTCA